CACTCATGAAGTAAAAATTCAATTTCATATTAAATATTAGTAGGCTGTAGAACTTCTAGTTTTCCAGAAACTCTTAAATAGTAATGTTAAGACTCTGCAGTGTAATACTGTTGCTGTCTAATGCAGTCATATCCTGACCTAGAATTGTCTGATGTTTTTTTGCTGTGCTGGGGCTTACTCGTTATGAAAACTTCGCAAGTTCTGAGCATTTCTAATTGCGTGACTGTAGAAGAGCTTTTCCCAAGTCACATGAGAAAGTGGTTGTGTGGTGGAATTCCAAGTGCAATAAACAAGGGTTCTGACCTTGGTACAAATTACACGTAAAGCAACTTGGGCAAGACTAGCCTTCAGTAGATGTAAAACACAAATGGGGGTGTTGGTGCACAGCACATAACAGGCAGGCACGGATCCAGGGGGGTGTTGAAATCCCCCCTCCTTTGAGACAAAAAAGGGGGAAAAAAAATGGGGAAAATAAAACGGGCTACACAGAATACTAAATGAAATTACACATTTACATCCAAAGGATGTGGATAAGCATTTGGGTATTTAAGACAGACTTTGAATGTATTTGTAACGTTTGTTTTTTCCTTTGAATTTGGGGTTAGATCTCTTTCTGGGTACCAAGTTACCTGTGTTTTACTTTAAAAAGGGCACCTGGTTCCCATACTACCTGTCATTACACACCATTGAATAGAGATATACTTAAATGATCTTGAATTGCAGGGATGTTTACCATTGAACTTCAACTTTGGCATGGAGCCCAGGTGCTGTAATAGAATTATCAGTGTCGTCGTTCCATGGTATTTTACCAGTGGGGCTTATTTTTTCTTGTTTTTCTTGCACAGACTTTTAGTGTGGAGGCAAAAGAGGATGCCATCAACGTTGCCTATACACCTCATGCCCTGGAACTGCATATGGATCTCGTGTATTACCAGTCGCCACCTGGACTGCAGCTGCTCCACTGTCTACGGTAAGACTGACTGGTTGTATCCTGTCCTCGATTCAACTCTCATTGTATGAGGATTTCCCCCACCATGGCAGTGGGAATTGATGCAAGAATAATACTTAAGGGCAGACTTGGAGTAGGAAGCAGAATTCTTAATCATCAGTGCCGTAATCCAGTTTGCGCTGGGTTGGCCTTGGCCTCCTACAATGGCCCTCCACCTAGTTCGGTCCTTCACGTCTGACTCCCCATTTCTTGGATCTGCCCCTGAATTGTCAGGGTTTTCTGTATTTGCCAACAACCAGGAATCCTTGACGTCCCAAAGTTTTCTTTGTTTGTTAAAATGTGAAGTGGGTAATTTAACAAAAAAAACAAACAAAAAGCAGGGTACTAAAAATTTGGAAGGGGGCAAACTTCTGCAGAATAGCTGAACTGAAATGAGGTCTCCTCTTCTCAGTAACAGGGTAATATATATTACGGGGAGCTTGGGTGTCAGTCACTTCGCCCATTTACCACTTTGCAAGCAACCACTTCATCCATTTGCCACTTCACCCATTTAGCACTTTGCCCATTTGCCACTTGGCCCACATACCGCTTCACCCACAGCCTTTGTCAAAATTGAAAATAGAGGAGGACATGTTAAAACAGCTACCCAACCCCCCTGAATCCATCCTGAATGCAAGGAAAGATAAAACATCACCTAGCAAAATAAGGATATTGTGGATTGAGAAAATGTCAAGGTTTTCTTTGATGTAAACTGATGCACAGCTAAAAGCAGGCATAGTGCCGGTGCATGCTGTGAGAACAGCGTGGAATACATGTGCCACTCCTACAACAACATAAAGTACACTCCAAAATTTGGCAACCCCAATTTTACATAAAATGATCAAAACTTCAGAAATATTTCAGTGACTTAGTTCTTAGATTTATAGTGGTCTTCATGCATCTACGTATATTCTGTTTTTCATGATGTCATAATGCACGCTGTTAGAAAACTAGAGAGTACCCAAGTGAATACGTCACATGCACAATTAGTGTGTAAAAGGCATTAGCGCGTGAACCAGCGCGTGAACCAACACACGTGCATACTCCATTCATTTTCACTGCACTTTCTGGTTCACAGTGACGTCACACTTCGGTACTGTATAGAGCGTTGTACAGAAACAGTGCTTTTGAAAATGCTTTATGTCTGAGTCTTAATGTCGTGATTATTGTATCTGAAAATTTGCAAGCAGGAAACCTGTTAGAGGATTCAGAGATTTTGTTTATTAAATACAAGCCTATGTGCTTGTGAAATTGGGGTATGCATACCGTGCAAAATATTGTGTGGGCAAAGTGCCACATGGGCGAAGTGGCACATCCACTTCTAGAATGCTCGTTTAATTGCCGAGTGTACATTAATAAACATCGAGACAGGAGCATGGGTGCAAATTCAAAACAGATTTTTGTCAGGGTAAAAATTGTAGGGGGATTCTGCTCCACCAGCTATCTCCTTGGAACATTGTTGGCCATATTTATAGCTTTGACGAGCAGGTGATGGGAGGAGAAAGTGTCTTCTTAGACACAATCCACGTGGCTCAAGAAATGCAATGGCACCATCCAGACTTGTTTGATACGCTCACCAGAGTCCCTGCCACCTTCCAAAAATTTCATTTCGAGAGGTGAGTGGAAACTGACATGTACTGTGATTTTTACTTGAGGAGTTAACAACATGTATAATTGAACAAAGCATGAAGTGCCTTACCCAATATCTATATGAAGACTGTAGTGGTGGTATCTATGATGCTTTTACCCAGTAAACCTAGGCCCATGTCTTCTTGTGTCATGGAAACGATGTGTAATTTGTACAATGGTTTACACTTCTCTAAGCCTTTGCTTTGGTCATTGGCTTGTCATGTGTATTTGAAATGTTTTCACTCTCATTTAGGGAGACACCAGCAGCATTCAGATACCAGCGACCTCATATCACAGTCAACAGAGAGGGAAAGGTGTGTTAAGTATCTTTAAGTAATTGTTTGCTCAGAATTGCAATCAAGTGAAGACACTTGTGCAGTGTCGCTGGTGTCTTGTAACAAACAAGCTGCATATTCCAGCTCAGAGGAGCAGTAATATCCAAACTTTAGGGGTTTGGGGAACGTGGTCATTTTTTGGATCCTGTGTCACAGAATTTTGGTTCGGTTTGATTTAATTAGGAATCTTGAGAGCCGAAGGAAGGGAAATTTGTGTTGTGACTTTTGTAACATACCGCTTGCAGGTTTTGTATTCTGGTTGGCTACAACACAGTCATGTCAGAATTGCTAACGTGGCTTGTGCATGTGTCATCATGAACTAGATGCGTGTTAAGATATGGCACATATGCGTAATGTCTGGAGTATACGGCCTCTTCGTGCACTGTACTCAAAATTTTTGGCTGGTGGCTGGTTATAACACTTCACATGATGCAAGTGACAAAGGATTGAATTGATAGCCTCTCTGTTATTATGCTAAGCCCTTGTGACATGTTTAGCCTCTGTTGCCGTCACGTTATGATGTGGGTTTGTGTGCATTCAAATGAAAAATGGTCCAAGCATTCTGCACCACGTTTGTAAGCATGGTCATTGGCTCATTTATAGCCAATGATTTTCTGTATCAAAAATGGGTATTTTCCATTTAGCCACATCCCAAATTCCATTTCGGAAATTCAAATTCAGTTTCATACCTGTGTGAAACGGGAGAGCAAAGTTTTTAACTATGCATGGAAAACATTTGTCCAGCCATACTCCTCCCCCCCAAAAAAAGAAAAGAAACAAATAATGTTTGAAAATACTCTGTAATGTTTCCAACTTTTTTATTCTTTCTGTGGTGAAAATTAAATAAAAGAAATACAGCACCCCCCACCCCTGGCGAGCAATCGCCGGGGGCCGATCATCAAAAACTTGCTACTATTAATCAACGGACGATTCATGTGCCACTCCTCATGCATAAACTCATATTACATAGAAGTACATGTACAGTGAAATCACAGAATAGGTCTTGCATGTAACAGTCGTTGATCACAATATGTTAATGTTGGACATCAACTTGCCTTTTTATTTGGCAGTAGTGCGACAAAAGTCAGAAAGTTAACAATAAATCTGAGCCTTAAAATGTATGTTTGTGGCTGAAAACCCCACTCTACATCAAACACTTCCGAGGGCCCATTCAGCTATGGTACACCAAGCTTACTAGGTGTCATTTCATTCAAGAAACATGTAATTAGTCTTCCCTTTTGCTGCCGCGGTTTCATAGTTTCGCCATATGGTACTAGTCTTGTCTCAAGGGGTCTGTGCGGATTCACAGACTGAATTCCCTATGAGTGCAATAAGCATATGTGTTAGTATGGACTTGTTTGCACCTTGATTTCATTGCTAGTACGGTGCACGTGTGAACAGCCAATGTGTGTGCTGTACTGTGCTGCTGCGCTGTGCCGGCTGCCGCTAGCCCTGCCTGCATGGGGCTCACGGACGCCATAGTGCTCACCCAGTCATGTGGTGGAGTGGTGCAATTTGGCATGTTTCCAGCATAATTCCTTCATTAAAAGCAAGCATTTTAAAAGGGTTTGATAGGTATTCATTTGTAGTATTTTTCAGAAAGTTTTCTTTACGTTTGAAGCCATTCTTAGTGAGAAACGTTGCAAGTTCTGTTTCAAGCAGTGGATTCTGTTTCAAAGTGTTGATTCCACGAATTCTGTTCGTTTTCCGCGATCACGGAAAATCATCGGCTCTACTTATTTGAGGAGCAGGTCACACCAGGCCAGGTACTGCTACCACATTGAGTTCATAAGAGGCGTATTAGAAATCAACCGGCTGTGGCTAGGATTATTACATGTCTCTATGGGAAGTGGTTTACGACTTCTAGCTAATGGCTTCCACAGGTGTACATGTATGTGTTATATCAAGCTGCAGCCATAACATCCTTATGCAGATAATAACAGCTGTATATATTGGAAGCAGCCATATCATCTCTAAGATGATTTTCAATGGGCCATCAGTAGCTACTTGGGAAATGCAAAGATATACAAGTCTGAATTTCAATTGCAAGGAAGCTGAGGGTAGTATTCAGTTTTAGAGGTTGGAGGAAAATCGTAGACAACTTTTTTCCCAGGAAAAATCTATAGAGTCAAGTCGGGACTGAAAACCCTGTCCGGTTGTTGGCATGGACAAGAGTGTTTGTGGGTTGCAAAGATGGAATGCGGGGAATTTATTCCCCTGGTGAAATGCCAGCTTCCCACCTGCATCTACTTCTCACCCTCCCACTAGTCTTTTGTATTTATAAGATGTCTGTTGCCGTTCCTCAGATTACCTCCGTGATTTGGTCCCCTCCATTTGAAGGCCCTCTCAAGGTTCCCGAGGTGAGCTTTCACACTCTGACCTTCACACTGTTCATAAGCCATCACTGTTTCACATTGCATGCCGTGCATCCCCATATGGAACTTGTGACAATTCTTCGTGTGTAGAACTGGACAAAATAATCATGAACTTGGGTCATATTTTTCTGCACGACTTTGACTGTGCTGGGCATCATCAAAGACTTAGATCAGAGGAACACAGGAGGTGTACGTTTTACAGTAAAATTGGGTGGGGGGTTAGCATGTCTAGCATTGATAAATGTCAGAAGGCTCATTGCCCTATCTTTTCCAAAAGCTTGGGTATTTTTAGTGTTTTTATTTTGTAATTTCTTTGTAGGAGGATGTTGCACCGTACTTTGAGGCATACAGAAAATTTGCTGAACTAGTGAATACTTCAGAGCTGCAGGTACTATATCTGTTTCGAAGTTTCTGACAGTCTGATTTAAATTTTGCTATTTGTGCTTTTCACTGACCGACAGTGAACTTGTTCCCCTGTTGCATTGAATTCGGAAAAATTCTGGTTTATGGATTATAAACATCCATGGAAGCATGTGTTCTTTGTGGTTACAGTTCAGTCACAGATTACAGCCTGGGGACTGTGTCATCTTCAACAATCTACGCATCCTCCATGCAAGAAATGCTTTCACTCTGAATGGAGGCAAGAGACAACTCATGGTGAGCCCAGTAATTGTTTCTTTCTCCTATCTCTGTGGTTGAATAAACTACAAGATAGTCTGAGGGTTGAATTGTCCAAAGATTCATTAGTCTGAATGTTAAATAGTTCAAAGGCTGGTTGGTCTGAAGATTTATTGGTCCAAAGGTTTGATGGTCCAAAGGGTTTCTTTGTCAAAAAAACCCAGACCACAGTTTGATCAGATGTGATTCTTACCCCCTTATGGATTAATCAGACTGATTAACCCTGTTTTAAATTCCAATATTGAACCTTCCAACAAAGGAACCTTCATATTATTGAACCTTGAGACTATTCATCAAATGTTTCGATTAATGATCCTAGAAGTTATTTCATTTTGGACATGAATGCCCAGGTACAAGAAATTTATGTGCCTTCTGGTAAATAAACCTTTTAGCCAATTCAAACTCTTAGACTGTAGAGTAGGCCTGCCTCTTTTCAGTCTCATAGCCTCTAACAGTTTTAAGATGAAACATCCCTTCTATTCATTCCTGACTCCTGAGACATTGTTTAATTATAAGAACTGCTGAACCACCGAACCGAATCAAAAATCATCGAACATGGCACTTTCGAACCAAACAGAACCAAAGTGGTCAGTTCCGATGTTTGGCTTTAATATGGCATGGCATTGCTAGCACACAAAATGCATACAAGAAAATTTGATAAAAAAGCAAATACAATGAAAAATGGATAACCAAACAGAACCAAAGTGGTCAGTTCCGATGTTTTGCTTTAATATGGCATGGCATTGCTAGCACACAAAATGCATACAAGAAAATTTGTTAAAAAAGCAAATACAATGAAAAATGGATAACAAGTTATGCTGCAGTTATGCTGGCGCTAGCGCTCGGCACATGTACGTGTACATGTATAGTAAACTTACAGTGGCCCTGCATCACACAATGGTTATAAAAAGCATGTGATGAGAATTCACTAATAATCAACCACAAACATACAACGTACTTTCTAAATTGTCACTACATCCAATTGTATTTATGTGTATTCAGATTTAACATGATGTTTGCCAATCTCCGATAGCCATGCCTTACGTTCCATGTTAGGCCAATGATGTCATAAATGGCTGTGTAAAACGAATTTTGGACGCTGATCACAGTTGGACTCGTGCTCGATTGAAACAATTCCAGAGGGAAATCTGATTTTGCCAGGCGGGCCGATGGAGCGATCCAGCGCATAACAAGATTTGGCTCGAGTGGTGGCCTAATTTGCCAGATCTCTAAGATGTTTGCAAATCTCAATAACAAAATGCTGTTACCTCTTTGGCCACGTGGGTGCCATAGTTTGGTAGCTGAATCTTTTTTGTGAAAAATAACCAAAACACAATTTGCTGGAAATCTAATTTCATCTTGTATGCTGTAAAGGAGGAAAGTCCCATTTGAGCATGCTTTTTTTTCTGTTTTCGCATATCCTACGATCGTTTTGTTGAGTCAAGCGTGATCCAAACACAACCCCTTTGGGTCTGTAAAACACCGGTCAGAAACTGTCACACCTCCAACTTTAACTCTCTAGGGAATTTTAACTCCTAAACAAACTTTGGAGAAACAGTTATAATAATAAATTATGTTCACATCGAAGTTACTCATGGATGGGATGGAGAGAAGATTCATTGCTTTTATTAAACATACACACCGAAGTACTACATACGGCACATACGTTCATAGCAAGCTCTTTGATGTCTCAATGTACATGTACATGTATGGTACACATGTGTACATGTCCGAACCCGAACTGAACCAAAGTTCGGCAAAAGATTCCTGAACCGTGTCTGAACTGAACCCGAACCAAACCTTGGCACCTACTTGCAGCAGTACTTTGTTCTAACATTGAAGCACAAGTGCTATGTGGTGTAATGTCTTGCCTAAACTCTTATTTACCTTCAGGGGTGTTACATCAACATTGATGCCTTCAAGAATCGAGTGCAGGTGGCGCACATACAATCTGGGTCTGAAGAAATTGCCAAGAGAGTAAACAACGGAGACTATTCCTAGTCACCACTGCCTTGTTCCCAGTTATGAAGGCAAGCTATATGCATTCTGTCTTTTTACCTCAGTGAATGTTGGAGCTGTCCTTGGCAATTTCACAGAAAGTTTACACGGACTAATCACATCAGGGATAGAAGTATGGGTATTTCACCAGTAGATGTTGCAGTAATGACGTAATAATGTTGTTATCAGGTATAAAAGCCACTGAAAAGTGACTATCCTGACTGGAATGACACCTTGACTTCACAGTTGGGACAGAAGTAGACACTTCCCAGGGAAACATTTTTGTCAGATTTTTTCTCATTGGACTTTGCTTCTAGGATTATCACAATTTCTTATTTTAGATGCTTGTACCAAAAGACCTTTCATTAATGACAGTTGCTAATCAAGCCTCTGCAGGTTGTCACTGTATTTCGAGGCTGTCCTTAGCCGTCCACAGCCACGGCTTTGTGTGAGGATTAGTGCATACCACACATACAGTCTAGTCACCATAAAGCTGCTGGTTCAATGGGGCCTGCTGCTGGACAAAGCTTTGCATACTGGGCATACCACAGCCCAGCATTCACAGTCAAAATAATCCAGGCTTGAAGGGGTTAAACCTGCCAAAATGTTTCTTGTGGTTCCTTAGGCCTACCTTAGTTTTTGTTCTGTGGACTAGCTCAGGATAAGTTTTTGTGTGTGTTCTTTTCTTGTCTGATCTGTTTTATTGTTTCTTAGCCTGTCTTGACTTGGGTAATTATTTGTCTTTTAATTAGGTTAATTATAGATTTGTTGTTTAACCTCTTTAATTCTTATCTATTCTTGGGTAATTTATCTGGGATGGAAGTATTTTGAATGCATTTTTCTAATTTTATTTTTTGTGAAATTGATTGTAATTCAGCTGTTTGGCTGCAAAAGTCTATTTTTGATAAACCGTTTTATAATATAACATTTTATAATAATATGATTTGAACTTCACTCATTTGAGTCATCTGTTATGAATATTAGATAAGGCAACTTGTTGGCATCATTACTTGCTACAGCACAGACTTGTGACTTGTATAAGTAGAAGGTTTTTTGTATCAGGAAACCGATAGATGTATCAGGGTGAGCACATTCCCATGTGTAAAAGGCATTAGCACAAGATTCAGTGCATGAACCAATATGCTTGCGTACTCCATTCATTTTCACTGCTCTACCTGGTGCAAAATGATCTTGCACTTTGATACCCTACAAGTAGATGTCTCTCATTGGACTCTCCCATAGGAAAATTGCAATGTGTATTCAATGCCACCAGGTGTGCGTATGCCCAGAGTGCAAATGTTCTGTGCGTGCATGTTGATCGAAATCTTGAAATACAGCACAGCTGATGGGCATCACAAAAATTTGACATCCAAAATGATGATGCATGTGGCAGTCAGTAGGAAGGGGTGTCAGTGGAGTGACCTGTAAGAAATTCAGGGTGCCTATAAACTGTAGATTTAAATTGGAGGTTTATCCATACTTTGTGGAGGTTAGATAAGGAGGCACTTTTCTGCACTGAACACCTGCTGCATGTTGTGTCTTCCTGTTAATGAATTCTTTCCCTTGTGTGGCCCCTTCCATGCCTGATGATTGTAATGGGGACTTTCATCATGCTGTGAATGGTATATTTTGGCCGTCTAGAGATGCACTTGTGCTATTTCCACGACTATGTTCTCATTGGCTTTTCTACATAGTACGATATGCAAAGGAGGCTTTGTTTTTCTACCTCTTTTTTTCTCTTTTTTTTTTAGGTTTCTTGTCTTCTTCTTGGTCTTCCAGCACTTATTCTCGTCACCTCTTTGGGCATTAAACAAAGTCATATGACTTTGTAACTTTACACTGAAAGCAAGGGAAACATGATGTCATGATGATGTCATCACCTGATTTATTATGGAATTTTTAATATTTAATGTCTTCTGCTTTCACCCTACCCCAAACAGTCGCTAAATATGCAAATTTCTTTGCGTCTTATTCAATTCGCTAAAACTTCTGAGCAATCGTAGTGCGCCCTCTAGTCCCATGACACAAAGCGGAATGGCCACCGTGTTTGTCCGTCTTTTCGTTGGCGTGATTCGAAACGGATGTGTCTTTTTGACATCTTTGAGTTTATCGAGTTTCCATTTCGCTCCACACCTTGTGATATTCTGATCAAACCGTAGCATCTTGTAATAAACGTACATTCTATATTTCTGAGTTAATGTGTATATTTTCTTGTTTTGGTGGTATATTTTCTCTTCTCGTGTGTGCATTTTATACATAGGGTCAACGGGGCAACCCTGGGATTGTTGGGGGTTCTGCGAGGTGGTGCAAGTGATCTAATACCGTGGTCCCCCTCTTTCCTTGGTGTATATAGGGACAACGAGGCAACCCTGGGTTTGTTGGGGTTGAAAGTGCGAGCGTTCCAAATTCAGTGACCCCACGTTCCCCTATAGACTGACAGGAGTCGGCCTGCGGAGGATCAAGTGGCATCTTGCTAAACTTGTGATCCCCTGGCTAATCCCTGCTGGCAATACTATCTTTGGTTCAGTTCAGGGTTAGCCCCAGCACGCTTCAAGGGCCTGAGCTGCAGTGCATGTGATATCCATATGCTTGGTTCCCCAACGTAACACCAAAGCATCACAGTCAACGATAAAGCAGAGTGGCGCTGCACTCAGGGTTGAATTTCCCCTGCTTGCTGGGTCTGGGCGCAACACTTCTGCGTCCCAGTTCCTAAACATTTTGAACAGGTAATACGGGGTGACAACAAGCTGCCGTGGGCAACACCTGACATCGGCATGGCTCACTAGTCTACGCGCCGGAGCGGCCCCACGCCGCCAGTGCTAGATACACCGGCCACATCATCCCTGGTGTCTTCAGACGCCCAATCAACCGGGGCACTGGGCCGTGACAAAGACAATGACGCTCCACGGGACAACATAATGCTGCTCCCTGGTGCGGTACCTGTAGAGACAATACCTGGCCATGCGGCTCACCACTACCCGTGCCCGGAACAATAGAGCCTACCAGCCTCCTGCACCGTCATGGCTTTCGACCCTCGGATGTCACCCTGTCTTCCGGCTACCTTCTGGGCCTTTCTGGGAAGACTGCTTCTACCTCTGCAGTTCACAAGGCCTCTCCTGCTGTATCTTTGCTGCAGTCTGGACAGGCCTCCGACGCCCCAGCTCACCAGGTGTCAACCGCTGGCTCTACAACCAGTTCTCTCGTATGCAAGAAACGTAAACATTCTTCGTCTTCTTCTACGAGGTCTAAGTGTAAGAAGTCTCACTCCTCACAGAAGGATGACGCTTTGGCCAACAACATGTCAGCGGTCCACATGCTCTCTTCTGTTGCCAGCCGTCTAGAGCCCAATCCTGCTCCCGTGGCGACGGCCCCAGATCCGGACCCTTTGCCGGCGCAACGTAATCAGTATTTGGATCCACATCCACTTCCTCAGCTTACCTCCTCCTTTGGCCCCTGACCAACTAGTAGGGCATAATGACGATCCTCCTTCTTCAGATCAACTCCGGATGGAACGGGATTCGTCCTCTGAAGATGAAAATGTCTCCTTTGGAGCCAACCTTAACTTGAGGCACGGCTCTGTCTTCTTCAGAAGGAAAAAACCACATATTAGGCCTACCTTCTAATCAATCTACGGCTAAGGCCTCTTCAAATGCTTCCTTCAAGCGCCACCCCACTAGGTTGGAGGCGTCAACGCCAGTTTTTCTCGAACTTCCACTTGACCGCTCATGCGTCGAGATATTTGAAGTTCTCCCCAGTACCAAACAATGGCATCCATACCCGCCCAGGACCTCGACTCATTTCCAGTTTGGTTGGAAGGACTTTGACAACTTCCTCTCTGTCCCTGAGATTCCAACGGAGGCTTAAGATAAACTTTCTTCTGACACTCACAAGCCTACAGGAAAGTTTCCATTTAAAGACAAGGGCAAGTGTTTGATTGAGTCTACTCTTGCTAAACTCAACAAAGCCTCACGACATGGCCTTTGCTGCACCCCCTTTACGGCACTCCTCTCTGAGTATTTGGCCCGAGCGTGTGATCAAGATTCACTAGTTACTCCAGACCTGGCAGCTGTCACACTTCGAGCACTCGATGAGAATGTCAACTCTATCTCCGAGCAGTTCATTCGGATCTCCATTTTAGCCATTTCTACACACAGATCCAACACTTTAGATGCCATGAACATTCCTTATGAGGAAGTCAAGTCAAGACTTCAAGAACTTCATCTTTATGGCAAAGACTTTTTTGCGGAGAAGTTCATGGAGATGATGGACTCTGAAGTTAAGCGCATTGACACAACACGTAAACCTGGCTTCTGTGACCTTCCACCGGTGGCTCCACTTCACCAATCCCGCCCTGATGATTGCCGGGCTCGACCCTTAAGACCTCCTTGTCAGAGCAGTTATGGTTCCTGCCGCCCCTTTCATCAACCCAGTTACCAGACGAATCGTGGCTTGACTTACCTAGCCACTCCAGAGGAGCTTCAAGAGAAGAACCACCAAGCCACGCTACCCCCGACCTCCTGGGGGTTTGTGTCGCTGACTATTCAGATTTGCCTCCGCCTGCCGATCTCAGACCCGTTGGTGGGCGACTTCAACTCTTCGCAGGGTCTTGGGAGAAAGCCACATCGGACAGATGGGTACTCGTGACCATTCGTTACGGATACGCTCTCAAATTCACGAGTACCCCTCCGTCTGTACTTATCCTTCGTCCGACTTCAGTTCCTACTGACAAAAACGACAGGCAGTGGAGTCCAAGATAGACTAATGGCCTCGAAGAGTCAACGTCAGTCTACACGCGGCATCTATGACTCCAGATTATGACATTTTACTTCATGGTGTTCAGAGCGAGATCTTTCTCCGACCGAAGTTTCTGTGACCGCTATAGCTGACTTCTTCATGCACCTGTTCAAATCAGATCTTCAGGTTTCAACTATCCGTAACTACCGGTCAGCCATTGTGGCTATACAAGATAGCTTCCCAGATGGTTCGACCGTGTCCGACAATACTGCTCTTAAACATCTACTTCTAATTCGGGCGATGTTTCTTAAGTGTCCCCCAACTAAGAGACTACTTCCTTCATGGGACTTGTCAGCTGAGACAGAGACACTATAGCCAGATGGGCAGTTTCGGCTATCAAGTTTACCAACCCAGATTGGGCGAACTCTCTGGAGAATAAAACACTACGCCTCATCAGGGCTCATGATATCCGAGCAGTTTCCACATCATGGGCCTACTTCAGGGGTGTACCGATGGGGGAAACATGTAAGGCAGCATGCTGGAAGACCCCATATACTTTCACCACATGTTACCTCACCGATGTTCTGCAAAAGGACTCCGCGCATGGCAGAGCGGTCTTAACATTGGCCATATCGATACCGAAGGGTTCCTCATCAAAGTGGCCCACCACTGGAACGACATAACAACTCCATTATTTAGTGAGTCCACAATAAAGTTTGGACAATTTCATACTCCTCTGGCACTCTCATTATGTAGTGCATCCTCGCCGCACCCCCCTTCAAGGACTCGGTGCTACTCTGCATATGTAGCAGCTGTTTGGGGTAGGTTGAAAGCAGAAGACTCCTCCCCCACAGAAATGTGGGTGAGGTCTGCTGTTGAATACGTACCCCAGACAGTCGGCTCCCTCCCAATCTTCCCCACTTTTGGCTCGGACAGTTTTAATACCGGAAAAGAAGGACGAACATGGCGGCCATTCTGCTATGCGTCATGGGACTAGAGGGCGCACTACAGTTGATCAGAAGTTTTAGTGTATTGAATCAGACGCAAAGGAATTTGCATATTTAGCGATTGTTTGGGGTAGGTATTCAATAGTAGGCCTCACCCATATTTCTGTGGGGGAGGAATTTCTCATATGTTTTGTACATGTATTTCAACAGTCACACATTGTGAGCGAAACTTCCAGCCCTTTTTTTCGCCACTTCTTTGGGCATTAAGCAAAGTCTTAATTATGACATGAAAACTGTACACACTTGAATACCTTATAGCAAAGGTCTTTTCCAAAACATGATGTCATTATGACATCATCACCTGATTTATTGTGGAATTTCAAATATTTAATATTTTCCCGTATTTTGGACACATTTTTCAACAGCAAGACTAAGGCCCTTTGTTCGATCTGACTCAACACATATTAGGTCCACACTCAGTCCTCAGGGTAGATAGGGTCCAAGAAAAAAATCGTCATCATGAATGATGTCACCACGTGTCACATGACATGGCATATAAGGTGCAAATTTCACCTATTTTGCCTATATCTCCTGAAGTGCATGTCTGATTGGGTTAAAACTGCAGATATTTCAAAAGACATGTATCAAAGATGAAACGGACCACAAAGATGATGATGTCATCTGGTGCCAAGTCACGGGACAGTAAAAGTGCACTCATTAAAGCCTTAAATCTCCTGAAATAGATGTCCCATCGGATTGAATCTTTGGGTATAACTAGAAAGGGAAGGGTAACAGATGAAAATGGACCTCATGTGATGATTACTTCATCAATTGGCAAGTCATGTGACATTAAAGGTGCACTCTTTAAAGCCCTATATCTCCTGATATATATGTGCGATTAAATTGAAACTTTGCAGATAGCTATAAAGGGAAATGTTATAGATGAAAATTGACATCATGTGTTGAAAAATCACGTGACATTAAACGTCTGTTCTTCAAAGCTCTATTCCCTTTTACCTCAAAAACATTTGAAATGCGGAAAAGCCCTTTGCTGTGTTCTCAAACTGGCGTAGACTTCTCGTTTGCAGTGATGTCTATAAATGGAGTCATTTTTACCATTGTTGCATGTGCTAAAATGAAGGGGGGATGGGCCAGTTAACCCATGGTCTCTGTTTTTGAACAAGAGAGCTCTCCGTGTATCAAGCAGTGATGCCCCATGGGTCTTACACTTCACTGCTGGGCCCACTTTTCAAGGACTTTCATAACACTTGGAGAAGGCTCAGTGTGAATGGCATACAGATATCATCTCAGCCGGTCTCTTAGTTTGTATCAGGATCTGTTGTCTATAGAGCTGGGTCTTGGTCTTCACTCCATTGGAAATACGTCGAGACCCACAGATGTAGCCATAGCTGTGAAAGCCTGTTTTGGACACAGCCTTGGTCACCTGTTATAGATCACTTATGTGCTGCCACCACTCTTGCTTGGGAGCAGGCATTTTGTAATGCATGTTTAGTTGATTATGGAAAGGCAGATGTGTATTCATATATAATGTACTACTTATTCAGAGAATAAAAATTACAAGCACCAATGATGGCAGTCCAGGGGAAACCACAGCAAAGAAACGTCTGTAGTCTGTGTACCTGCTACTGTACATGATTCAGTCAAACCATAACATTAATAAAACTCAAATTAAAACAAAGTGAGAGCTGACTGTGTCTGTTTGCAGCAGAATATGGGGCTTTTTCGCATTTCTTTTCCAGTTATTAAAAAGTGTGTATGCCAAATGTGTATGTTTTGAATTATAAGGTATGTATAGTAAGAATAACCTGCATAGGATTGTGAGGCTTGCAAAGCAAGTTAAAATCTACAGTAAGTCACAGAATGATGTCATTGTGATGTCATCATATCAGTTTAGTTTTGAGGATATTAGAAATGGGGGAAGAGGAAGGGGAAGAGCTTCAAGTACATTGGAAATGTAATTTCAGAGATTAGAGTTTGCAGTAAGCCAATAAGGTTACTGATATGTTTGTCGAATTGAAACAATACAGAGACCAAGAACCAGTTTATGAAGTATACCATGGTTTGTTAGAACGTAATACAAATTTTTGTGATGCATGTAGGCATAATAAGAGGAAAAGGCATTTGTGCAGTGCCTTTGCAATCAGTTGATTTTATTTCTGTGTTTAATTTGCAATGTTATTTCCATTCAATTGACATGAGTTAATACTGCCAGAACATATGGCAATGATACACCTTTATTTATATTATTACATTCACAATGATATAGACATGTATGTTCTTTGTACATTTATTGATATGCCCTCTATTAAGATTCTCAACTGCAAAGTTCCTGGAGTCCCTTGTGGTAAGAAACATGTACAAAGTGAATTAACAGAATTAAGTGATACAGTATGGAGATCTTATAGTTACAGAAACGTTTTATTGGTTTTTCATTCTTCAAAACAAAATGAGTAACAAAAGCTATACTGTTGTTTTGTAGCTTTAGATATTTTTTGCTTTGCTGAATGTCCTGCAATGGTTATGAAGATTGCTCAAGTAAGACCTTCATTGATGAAATTAGTGAGCAGAATGTAATTATTGGCTGCATTTGTTACATGACAGATGGTTTATTGTGTCTTTTCTTGGAAAGGAAGTAATACTGGGCTAAAAGGATGTGTTTATGGTGGAAATGTTTACCGTAGTGCAATTATCAATTACAAGTTATAAAAGGTAAACAGGTTAAATAATAAATACATCTATATATTTTGGTATGGTAAAGTAACATAGCAAAACTGGAAGGTTCAGACAGACACCGAAAAAGAGAAGGTTCAAACAAGTTCCTGCAGTTGCTTGCTGTAACGTGCTCGGGTAATTACGGGTTTTGCCCCTACACTGACGTATATTAATTAACACTGTATTCTTTCTGCTTGCCCGAAAGTTTGTGAAAAAAAAATCACAAGCTTACTCAAGTGGGACTCGAACCCATGACCTCCTGCTTATAGTGCAGATGTCTTAACCACTCGACCACTGAGCTTGCCAGGGTCGGTTGGCCAGTCCAAGTCAGCTGTAGCAGCGGGTACTGCAAAATAATTTCAAGATGTACTTTGCGTCAGGGAGATGTTTATTTTTAATTATGGATTCCGCCCTTACACCGATGTATATTAATTAACACTGTACTCTCAATGCTCGGAAAGAATGGACAATTTGAATTTCTTACAAAGTGCATTTTTTAGTGCATTTAACCAAATGGCAGGGTGAAAGTATTCACACATTGAAGTAGAGTACAAAGTTTCAGAAAAATTGTGCCGTAGAAAAGTTCATTGTGAATACAGTAAAAAAGATAATCGATGACTCGCGGTGTCGTGTTGCTGGTAGCGACGTTTCGGCTGCTAGTGCTGCTAGCCTTCATCAGGCAACTGAAGTCTGGATGCTGCAGGGTCTGCTATATACCGCCGGACCGCGTCCTCCGCGTGTCCCCCGCCGTGTATTGCGTCCGCAATACACGGCAGCCGAAACGTCGCTATCAGCAACACGACACCGCGAGTCATCGATTATCTTTTTTACTGTATTTGTCATCCACCGCGGTGATTATGTTTATCTCTTCCAAGTTCATTGTGGCTACACTTTAAAGGTGCATTCAACTCTTTTATCGGGTCTGTCTGGGGAATTTGTAGATGTTCAAAAATTTGGGTACAAAACCTATGAGTAATTGAAAAATTGACAAAAACGGTGTATTAAAAATATATGTTCGCTTACCTCATAGTTGTTTAGGTACCATTCATGGTTTTGAAGTCTATTATTTTCATATAAAGCAATAAAACAAAGGATCAAAAATTAAATTGCTTCAGTGCTGTTCTGATTTCGGAGTTTTCAATTAGTGGTGATTGCTCTGTGCCCTGCAATCCTTATTTTTGGGCAACTTCCCTTCTCTAGTTTTACGGCTTGTGTGCCTGTCCAAAATTGCTTTGCAAGGTGAGTCGTCTTCGTTTATTTTTAATCATTTCATGGACACAGAAATGCAGGATCTGCCCTTTGTGGTAGTTGATGAGGGGCAAATTTGTCACTACTGGGAGAGGTTTCCTAAATAAGGATTGCCACCTACTCCCTCTACCACTCCCGCTTCTCTTTCATTGCTGAGGATGTGTGAGCAAGCACAGTTCTAGAACCAATTTTTTTTGGGAGGGGGGGGGGGCAAAACCATTTGCATGTAGTCCCAGTGTTTAACTTGCTACTGCTCAGTCACAGTTTTTGTTCTTTTTGCAGGGGGGGGGTTAGAGTCCCTCTTCGAAGGCCCCCCCGAAACGTGCCTGGTGAGTTAGTTGAGCAGTTCATTGTGAATCCAGTGTTTGTTGTGTGATGAAAAGAAATGCACAATGCCAGCCAATCCCATCCCTCCTCGTCAGAAATAATTTACTTTGGGAAAACGAAGCAAAAAAGAAAGGCCGGAAAACAATTCGAATGCACACGTTGTAGGTGATGGGGCTGGGGACTATAGGTAAAATTCATGAAAGAACATCTCCGTGAATTACTGTCTCTCTACCGTGGTCTGCTCCATAATATCCAGGGGTTGCTCGGAAAAGGCGCCTACGGGCTACGCCATAGGTGCTGGTGTGAACACAATTTTTCATAATTGACCAACAGGTGGCGCTACATACCATTGGCAACTTGGTTGAGTATAAAAATGGCGCTTTGACCGTGAAATTGACGGTCGACCAGATCGTCTATGTTGATTTGTGAGAAGTTCACCAATATTCTGGCGGGTTGAGAAGTAATTGGACAATTCTGCAGGTTGGTTGAAAATTGAGCTTCTCTAATGAGTACAGACTGGGAATCAAAAGGATTTATTAAATCTTCAATTCTGTGAGAATCTGGGGCACAGGCATGAGGAATTAGGAGATGGTCGGCATTTTGGGGGATCACGGTGCTGTGATGAACTGATGAAGCTTGATTCAAAATACCGGGCCGTGGAGTTCCGTACACGGACATCAGTAATTTTCCCCTGCAGTGTTAAACTAGCCATTAGAAAGCCATAACATGTAAGATTTAGCAAGTTGTTCAGGCCGAGCCTAGGCTACATGTTAGCCCCACTAGTGAGGCACGGACTCTCACTCCCGATCCATCCGTAGCCACACATCCGTATGCGCAATTTCGTGTTGGCATACTGAACATTTTCGGCGCACCCACTTATCATCGTGGGCGCAATTTCTTTTGCACACGAACATGATCCTTGTCCTTTCCATTTTCTAAAAACCATTTATTGAATGATTTCACTCACGTTATTGAGGTATTTTCCAGTCTTTTTGCCTTTATCCATTCAATCTAATGGGCTCGCTCTCACAGTCGCCATCTTTAAAATAAGGTCGTTGAACAATACATCACTTGATCCCTCATCGTCTCGATGGCTCTTTCATGTCAAGATATATGTAATAAACGGCCTGAGTGATAAGATACTACATGTACCAATGGGCTCTTCCAAAACTTTGGCAGCAGTTTAGATGTCTTGAAATGGAAGAGCCGTCGAGACGATGAGGGGTCAAGTATTGTACCAAACTATGCTTTTGAGGTACATATACATGTAGCTCTACTGACTGGAGCGTCTGTATTCCTCTTTTTGGATTTTGGACAGGATCGTCACACTACACTCCACGCCTGTTCATAGGGTAAGCTTGAAACGGTTCTCGACACACGCACAGCACTTCAGCTTTTCGACGCCTCCTTTCATTCAGAAAAAGGAGTGAAGAGTTTTCTGGCGCAATAAGTCTATGGGCAAGCATGGTCCTCTAATACAACCGCAGGAGAGGTCCATATGTAGTCGGGGCACAAGACGTATTGACCAGGAAACAGTCGCTGGCAGCACTCCCAAACATCACAATCAACAAGTCTTGTGTCCAGACCATGTAAAACCTACTCATGCGTATGTCTTGGAGGACCATGCTTGCCCATAGACTTATTGCGCCAGAACTCCTCACACCCGTATTTGAATGAGAGGAGGCAGCGAAAAGTTGAAGTGCTGTGTGTGTGTCGAGCAAAAACGGTCGGATTTTGACAGATTTTGAAGTCAGAAATATCATTGAAGCCCCAACCGTTTGACCTTGGCATTTATGGAAGCCAGTAGGTGGTGATAGAGGGATTTTTGGTGAGTCTTTGGAATTTTGAGAACCGTTTCAACCTTACCCTATGTACAGGCGTGGAGCGTTATTGTGACGATCCCATCTAAAATCGAAAAAGAAGAATACTAACGCTCCACCCAGTAGAGCTACTTTGAGGATGCTTTTATTGTGTCTGAGTCCTCTGGTCTTGATATTTTGATAATTTTTTTGGAGCCAAGAGTGTTGTATCCGAAAAATTGCACACAACAAACCTGTTAACCCTCCTATGCTGAAGTCACTTTTTGGATCATTTGGTGAACACCTCAAAGAAGCACAGCTGTGTTGTGTTGTGCACTGCACCAACTGTCCCTCACAGGAATATCAGATTGCACTTTTGTGCTGCCTAACAACTGTGCTTCACTGTTTCATGTGCATAATTGTGCAGTAAACCAAATGCAGTGAAGAGGATTGCACAAAAGACCTTGGGTCATTTTGTGCTGGCAACCAGCTGTGTACACACTGAACCTGTGCATGTTTGAGTTCCATACAGAAAATACATGCTCACCAGTGACTGTGGGCGTTTGTGCACATTTGTGCTGTAAAACCAAAAAAGGGCTAAAGGATGCAGAGATTTGTTGATAAAATACAGGCCTACATGCTTGTGAAATTAGAGCATGCATTATTACCACGCTAAATATTGTGTGGGTGAAGTGGCACTTACATGTACGTGAAATGGTATGTGGGCAAAGTGGCCAATGGGTGAAGTAGTAAATGGGCTCAGTGGTTGTGGGCAAAGTGGTAAATGGCTGAAGTGACCAACCTAGCCCCCTCCCCCCGACTTCTGAAAAATAGTTGAGCCAATGGGAAAGCAAGCCAATATATGGATGTCGAACATGTAAATGTATGTCATGTGATTATCTTGATTACCTGTAGTGTCAACAGACAAAATCAGAGTTAACAACCATGACAACTTGGAAATGCACTCTAAAGCTGCAATAAAGTATGACCAGACTCGTCATATTTAGGAAATTTTATCAAAAAAGGCAAATTTACATCCAGATTCCTGCAGAAAAATACATTTTTTTCAAAGGAACTTGAACTTTGAAGTCTCATCTTAATGTGGAAAGGTGTATTTTTCAAACTATACTGGACTATGTTATCTAAGTTGGTTAAGTATTCTGCGTCTGGCATACTGTTAAAGTTTGTTTGCATTTTTTGGAGAGACACTGTGTGACATTCTTGCTTTACTGCAAACTGTTACAGCTTGTGACATCTATGGATGTTTATCATATTTATGGCATTGCACAACAATGGTCAAAGGTTTTAGTGGACTTTGACAGATGATATCCAGATGTTGACTAATTGTGAAAATTAAATCTTTTGGATCTCAAATAGTAATTGATTAGTAACATAAGTCATGTACCCCTTAATATGACAAGGGTTGGTTTCATATTTGTATTATAATATTAATATTAAGTATTATAATTGACTTATTATAACCAAATTATTTGTCCTGACCACCAGCAATGGACCCTGTTATCAACACCAGTGATGTTCTGGCATCATCACTGGACAGTCTAGCAACTTCCATTGCCTGTGGCTCCACAAGCATGCTGGAGGACACTGTGGCCAGCTCCCTGATGCTGACCAGTCATGGAGTGGCGTCGTCCTTGGGCATCCCCCAGGCCAACCTGGGACTAAGTGGCATGGAGGAGGAGCGTGAGGCAGAGGACCTGCCTATTGGGGCGGGCCGGATGGAGCCCCCCTTCCCAGGATGCGAGGGCGACCTGGACAACCAGTCCATGGTGGGCGGCGATGAGACGGACTCACCAGACATGAGCAACTTGGGCCTGCCTCCGTCAAGCCTGGTAGTAGTCAACCTCCCCAACACCAGTCAGACCTCACTGGCCACGGCCACGCTTATGCCCATCCTGGTGCTGAGCACCAGCAACGGGATGCAGAAGGGAGGTGGGATGGACTCTTCGCTGATCCTGGACAGGCCTCAGCAGGACTTCAGACAGTTGTTGAGACTGCGAGACCTGGCACATGCCAATCTCATCTGTGCCACACAGGAGAGCATTGCGAAATCATTTGGGGTTACCAACCAAGCTCCAGGTATAATGTCTGTCTTTAGATTTTGAAATGTTCCGCTCCACTCTTTCATAACTTGTAAGCTTTTAAAAGTGTTTGATGGAAAAGGGTGCATCAGGATGTATCCACTGTATAGGTCTGACCACAAACGTAGCTTTGTGTATAAGTCACAATGGTGATATAGGGCAAGTCCCTCACTGCTCTCGCTCTTCACTGTCCATCAGGAAATAGCTGTTTTGAATTGCTGCATGCAACGACAGATTGGTGCATTCACTTTATTTGGAAATAAAAGAAAAATTATCTGCTTATTTTCTGGCATGTTGAGCTGGCGCTAAACCAACTCCAACTTTGGGTCTTGTTTGGTTGGAGCAATGAAGCCACACAGGCATAACCAAATCAGTCACCAGAGCAGAAACATTTTTGTGGCCACAGGTGTGAAAACACCTCCCAGATCATGTGTCTGTGTGTTGAAGGCTTGACCTCAGGCCAGTACATGTACATGCATGTTGTGACCACACTGCCTACTTGCTGTGAGTTGTACAGTAGATTCCCTAGTTATAGCACTCTCAAGGGGACCTAAGAGAATTGAGCGTTTTAACCACACAGCGCTATAACCGACTGGATGGACGCGCAACATGTGCAGTGCACATGTGCACATGTACTCGTACATGTATAGATTCATGTATCTACATGTACATGTATGTCATGTATGTGAATGTCGTTTACATGTATTGGCAGATGTATGCACCGTATTTTTCAGTGTATATGCCTTGTATCCGTTTATCTCCACGTTTTCCTGACACAGATAAAAAATAACAGCAAATCTCTTCGAAAACCACCATGGGACCTCGTGTATGCCGCATCGCGCACACGCACTGCATCTACACCCGTACCCACCGCGACATCCTGACTGCTACCGCGTACCCATTCATGGACAGTCCAATCACTGACTGTTCCCAATAACCATGTGACCACAGAAGGTGATATGTCATTAGAAAACCCAAGTGAAAATAGAACCGACATTTCACACCAAACACAATCGGCGAAAAAACAAGATTTGCTACACGAAGATACCTGTACAGTTTAAGTGGCTGATTTTATTTATCAGTAGAAAGAAACCTTTAGGTAACAAAATACTACATGTACATGTAGTATCTCAATGTTGATCATTTGTGTCCCAAACTACGCCACGAGAGTAAATAAAAAGTGGGAAATAATCACTACAATGTCACCACAGGATTGATCTGTCTGTGGTGTTCAGAACTCCTGCTAAGAAAATGAGAGACTCTTTATGATAAACATTTGCCCAGGCTGGTATCGTGCTGTGGGAAATTTTTGACTAGACTATAAGGACTGTAGTGCATCCCCACAATGTTAGGATCCCAGTAATAAATAATGTTACAGTCTCCACAACTATGGAAAAAGGATGTGTGGTTGTGTATAATTCACACTGAATTTCTCAAAAATTCTCAAGAGTTGTCAAAAATTGCCTAGTGTGTTTTATATCATCAACCATAAGAATACTGTAGTGTAGTTTTTATACCAACGCAGCTGTCAAAACTGCGTGTTCATAGAATCTGAGTGAGATTGTTTAGAGAACCAAAAAGTGTCTTACCCTGTGCATGTAATACAGCACTGATTCTTGTTCTGAATGTATGGCGCATCCTTGACAACAGCCCAGGGGAAACCGGAGAGAGAGTGGAACTTTTTTCTCTGGCTGTTAAAATACATGTACATAAATGAAACTCTTGAATAGCAAATGACTTGTAAGAGACAGCTCCTGCATTTCATTCACCTCACAGATGAGAAACACTTGAAGTGTGAGGAATGCGGTCGCAGCTTCAAATCCTCCAGCCACTACAGGTACCACTGTGAGACCCACAAGGGGAACAAAGTGCTCAAGTGCCCTGTGGAAGGGTGTAACAAGCGCTTCGCCTGGCCGGCCCACCTCAAGTATCATACCAGAACACATGCGTAAGTTAAAAACCCAAATTTGGACAAGGGAGATACTTTGGCAGTTCCCTAACTCGAATCGTAACCCCCATGAATGCTGCAAGGTGCAACTGGTGCAAATCTATAAGAACTTTGTTGCTTTGGTCAGTCAAAAAAAGCAATAAACTGTTACTTCTAAGACAATGTGATAGTGTGTTGTAGTAACGGGATAGTGTTGTTAGAGTTAGCAGTTATCTCTGCATCAGTATACAAAGATTGAATATTTGCTTCACTTGATGAAATTATTCTTTTCACTGCACAAATAGTCATTTTTTTATTTTCTACATCTGAGTAAGACCATGTCGCCTGATTAGTGACTTACATTCTCGCTGTTTCCCCTCTCACTTCACGAAGACAGCGATCAGTTTTAATGGAAAAGTAAAAATCAATCCTTCACAGCTACGGTACCTCCCCTTGGTGTGTCCGGGCAACGTCGATGACGGACAGCGACGGCAATGTCAGCGGTCAGAGGCAGCTGACATTGGGCCGTTTCAGTGTCAAAAACATGAAGAGTCAATCATGTGGTAGCCCCCACAGATTCATGCGTAAGCGCAGTCTAGCAGCAATGTAGGATGACAGGGCAATGATGGAAGATCTGAAGGCACTGCAGGAAACTGTGCCAACTACATGCGATAACACTGCCAGTCATTGCAACGGCCATAAGTCTCCGAGTGGTTCCAAGTTGATGACAAGCAAGCACAAATTTACGATCGGATGCCGTAATGTCACAACCTGTAAGGACGACGCGAAGTTCGTGCATTGTGCGCAATCGCGGTGAAAGAGCTCCATCAATAGTTCTGTATTATCACCGAGACGCATCGCATTTGGAAGCAGACAAATTGATCAATGGCCAACAAACTCAGAGTTGGACAAGTGGAAGCTTGTGTACGCTGGGATGCGGAAGAAATGGATGGCCGGATGTGTTATTTTGCTGGGGCCGGATTGTGAGCCGATGGATTTCAGCACCGTGACGGAGGGGAGGATCTTGCATGCTAGAGTGAGGATTTGGGGCATCAAGCTGAGCTTATGGTTGGTAAACACACCTACCAACCAGCATAGTGTTGCCAGTAAGGCAGCATCTTGGGTGACACTCGGTAAGAGCATCAACGAGATGTGGAAAAAGTACATACATGTATACCTGTTGTGGAAGACAATGGTATCAGGCAACATGAACAGTACATTAGGGGAGGACAGTCCGAAGATGCCCTTCATCATTCGCAACAATGCTGGTGAGCACTGGACCACTGATATGGGGTATCAGTTTGCAGATTGGCTCTCAGACACAAACCTGTTCACTCTCAACACACTGTACATCACAAAGCTGGCCCATCGAGTGACCTGGAAGTTTTGACGTGCTGCAAACCAGTTGGATTACTTCTACCGACTATTTTCTATGTATGTGCATGTGACTCTACCACGCTTATCCAGCTTAAAGTGCTGCATTTGAGACTAATCGCAGGCTGCTGGTTTGTCATCTCCAGGCTCCATCCCAAGCACAGCGTACCAGCATGTTCCAGGGAGTCGCGCCCAAATCGAGGCCCATCCTCAAGTGTCTACATGATGAGTCTCCTGTTCCCTGGCGGTATGCGGAAGACTTACAGCAAGTACTGCCAAGCTTTGACAGTCAGGATGGCTTGATAGTGGAGGAGCTGGATGACCATATCACGGCAGGGATCCGCTCAGCAACAACACCAGCAGTACCAACATTTGGCAGCACGGGAGGAAGAGCCTTGAGTCACACCAGAGTTCAGGGAACTGGTTGGGTGGCTAGCTGCAGAGAAGGACAGGTGCAAGTGCAAAAAGCTCTCCAAGAAGCCGAGGAGACAGCAAGTAAGGCTGAAACACTAGTTTCACCACCAGAGAGCTCAGGCAATCACTCTGGCTGCGGAAAACCCCAGGTGGAGGAGTACCGGTTGCTTTGCGAGTGGAGGATGCTGCAAAACAGCAACAAGACACTGGCTACGCCTGACAAGTTATACAAGCATTTCAAGAATCACTTCAAGGAACACCTGTCTCCACGTGCACCTGAACTCAATAACATCTAGGACCACTCGATCCGTCTAACGGACGCTGACACCCCCAAAATCGACATCAGCACTCCCACTCTGGAGGATGTCAAGGACCCGTGTGCACACCTCAAGAACAATTGGTGTATGGATAGTGACCAGGTTGCCGGTGAACAACTCAAGTACGATGAGTCTCCGAAATGACAGAGATACATTGACGCACTCATTGTACGTGCCTGGGACCACCTCAATTACCCTCCCTACTCCTGTCACAGGTCCATGAGCACCACGAGCATATGATACTTCCATCTCATTTGGGATTCTGGTGGTCGCGAGCATCAACAGATGGCATCTTCATTGCCCGGCAGGTGACCAGCAAAGTGGCGGCTCAGATCTGGGACTGATTTGTTGATGGTCACGCCACATATGACCACTTGCATAGGCCCACGCTATGGAGGATACTGTGAGCCAGGATGGTAGGTGGCTGGCAAGATCGTGGAGCGCCGTAGCCAGTACCCATCAAGTGTGGGGTCAGGCAGGGGCGCCTCAGAGTCATGTGTGGTGTTTAACTACGCGCTCGACTTGGTGCTATGCATGGCACTTCTCCAAATCGTGCAGGAGTGCCTGGAGGCTGGGGTGCAGCATCAGTACGAGACCAACAATGAGTGTATGGATACGGCACAATGTGCTGAATTCACTGCGAGAGGGAGTGGAACACCACCGTTATCACCTACGCATGCAGATGACAGTTTGTTGCTCGGGAAGTCGCAGAAACAGCTAGAGGGCATGAAAGGCATTTTGTACAAGACATTCATGAACTACGGCCTGACGATGGCAGGTGACAAGGCTGTAACGATGACATGGAACCTGTTGGAGCCTCGGAGGTGACGAAAACCAGCAAAAACCTGATATCAGTGGGAGGGATGGACCTGGGAAACGTCCGATCGTTCAAATATCTTGGTTACATGCTCTCAGATGAACCGAAAACCCCCCTAATACATCAACCAGCAGATTGGTTCGGCATGGGCAAAATGGGCGGAAATCAAGAGCGTCATGACTCATCACAAGATCAAGTTGTCAATGCGACTCTGGATCCTTGAAGTGACGGTTAGAAGCCCCTTTTCTATGCTGTTCAAACCGACTGCCCGAAAGAAGTCAAACAGGACAGACTCGATAGCCTTTTGGTCAATTTTTGCAGGAAGCTCGTCAAGGTAAATCCTGCAGGAAGGTCAACAAAGGTCAACAAGGTTGGTGAGGAGATCCTAAAAATCTGCAAAACAACCCATAGCAGTGAGGTCTGCCTATTATAAATATTGCACGTGTGGTGCATATGCCCAACTCCAGTGAGCAAAAATAGTGGCTCTTTACCTGTGACCTGTGGAAGTCTCTATCACGTAACGTCAGAATGGACGAAATACAGCTTTGGCGCTTGCTCTTCAAGAAAGAGGAGCTCAATGCAGGGCTTAGAAGCCACGAATCTCGATGGTCGATAAACAACTGATAAGACAAAAACCATCATGATGATGACTTCAGCATAAAATTTTGATAAATATCTGTGCAATATTAAACCAGTAAGTGCATCAATGTACATTTCTGCTTGTCCTGAAAATTCCCCTGAACATTTGACAGCATTTTGGCTTGGCGTTAGTAGCACTACAGCACACCATCAATAGAAGGACTTCATGTACCAGGGATTTTAGCATTGTATCAAACAGTGCTGTTACACTGGGCAGCCATGTGTCATGTGTTCGTGATGAAAAATTCATGTCATGTGATGGACCACTCCCCAATCTAATGATGGCAATTTATTCTTAATTTTGTATGTCATTTTCTTCTGTTCAAGGATGGGGGAAGGGGGGTAGAGGGCCACGGCCCCTCCCAATGAAGCAGCCAAGGAAATGTTTTAAAAAGATATTGAGAAAGACAATTTCATTTCACTTCTCTCCCTATTAATGAGCCTCAGAACATAGCCTAACCTTCAGAGAGGCAATAAAAAGGTTACATGAAAAACTCCCAGATTTTTGGGCCCCCTAAAACAGGTTTGTCTTCCCCCTCCTTTGAAAATTTGGTTCCAGATCCTCCCTTGAATCTACGTCAAATTCATTCCAAAATGTCACATGGTATATGTTTGTCTTCTTCACAGCAATGACCGTCCCTACAGGTGCGACATGGATGGCTGCGACAAAACCTTCTACACGCTACAGAGCCTGCATGTCCACATGCGCACTCACACCGGCCACAGGCCATTCAAGTGCACTGAGGAGGATTGTGGGAAGAGCTTCACGACAGCTGGCAACCTCAAGAACCACTTACGAACGCACACAGGTGAGTCGATTGGCTTTTGTGTGTTAGATTTTAAATAGTTCTATCGACTCTGCATATTCCTAGGTAATGCATTTGTTAACCCCTTAACGCAGGTAGGTGGTTACAGGAACGGGGTCCCCAAATTTGCAATCCCCGATGCCATGCCCTTTTACACTTCAGGCAAATTCCAAAATGAAGAAAATTTGACATCTTTTGAAACAATTTTGAAATTTGCTTGAGTTCGCTCTGTAACAAACACAGCGTGTGGTCCTCCGCAGCTGTGTGAGGATTAGTGCATACCACACGTACATTCTATTCATCATGCACCTGTAGTTTCAAAGTGGGCCTGCTGCTGGACAGGGCTTTTCATACTGGGCATACCACAGCCCAGCAGTCATGGTCAAAAGAATCCCGGCGTTAAGGGGTTAATTTACGCTCACCACTTGAGCTTTTCATGATTGTACCAAGTGAAAACATCCAACAGTTCAGGCATGGAACTTTCTGTCATGAGTGACTGACCATGTATGCCCACTTGGTTCACGCATGATGACATGTAGCCACAGAATTCGCAAGTTTAGTTTCTCAGATCTGGGTAATTCCAGAAATTAGGGGTCCATTTTTTGTGTCCCTGTCACATCTGACCTATGATTTTGTAACTTCAGAACACAGTTTCTAAATTCCAAGAGTGATGAATTAACCACTCAGCACCTGGGAGCCCAGTTGGCTGTATATGCATTGCCGGGATGCCTGAAATCGAACAAAAGGAACTGGCCTTGTAACAAAAGACCGAGCTTGGAACAAAAGACCGAGCTGCTGGGATTTGACAAAACTTTTCAGCACAGAGTGCTGGTAATCCGTCATTGTTACACTGTTAGGGGAATTCAGAGCCTGTGGATTATCAGCTGAGACAAAAGTACTACAGCACTCCAGAGATGAGCGATACAATACCGCTGCACGCTAATCTGGCCACATTTGTAAAGACACCCCTGCCATTCAGCAACGCACTGGGCCAGTATTGGGAACAAAGGAAACTACGCAACACCGCACCATTGTGGGCTCTCTTTACTGGGCGGCATGCTTGGCTGCAATACCCTGGCAGCAATGGAGGTTGCCTGTCAGATTACAGTAGCCACCAGACAGTAATTCGTTTTGGGTATAAGCGTCCAGTAAATGAATTTTTGAAGAATTTTGAAAACGGAAAATCATGAAAATCGTCCCATATATGCAAACTCCACCTGGCAAGAAGTGGTAAATGCAAATTACCTGTCAAACAAATAGTAATAGTTTGAAATCAATTCCGGTGATATTTCCATGTCAAATAGCAAAGGTCAGATGTAACAGGGACACAAAAAATGTCCCACTTTTGGACCCCTAATTTCTGGAATTATCCATGTCTGATACTATAAACAGGGCTGACTGCCTGAAGGTACTTGCAACCATCCCCCCATTAGGTTTAAAAGTAGAACAGAGGCAGTTCCTTTGAACCGCCTGATAACGAGTGTTGTCCAATTTTCATCCTGTACACACTGGTGGGGTTGGTATCTGTTGGTAGAGATGAAGACGGCTGATCACACAATTGACAACTGCCCCCTGTGTTATCCTTCAAGTGGTCGAACTGGACTTGAGTCCTTGATGACCTGACAAAATGGCTGTCTGGACATACAAGCAACAACAGGAAAGAAGATCCACAATCCTTAGGATTTCTGTGGAGCCTAGAAATGTTGATGACATTTCCCGTTTTACCATGGCATCAATGTTTCTTTGTTCTCTCTTTGCATGCCTTCCAAACTTCTAGCATCTAGGAAGTTACAAGATCTATTGTCATCTCAAAATTTTGTAAATCTTAGTTTTCAATTTCTGAAGGGGAGTTTATATTTTGTCTGATGCCCAGGAGAGAAGCCATTCATATGTGATCATGATGGATGTATCCAGAGCTTTGCTGAGCATTCAAGCCTCCGCAAACACAAACGTGTCCATACAGGTATATATCATTAATAAATCAAGGTTGCTGTAACTGATAATTCTATAGCTGCATTCGCATTGGACTAAAATAGTAAATAAAAGTATTGCAAGAGCTTGTTAACTTTCTATCATGGTTACTCTTCTGAACATCTGCATGTGGACTACTTGTGACCTGCATAAAGTCCCTTAGTCATTTGAAACATGGCATGTTTTTCCAGAATACAATGAGGGCGCCCTCCAAGTTACCTTATCATCTGACACTGGGTGTTGCTTCAGGAAAGAAAACATTTGTTTATACCTTGCCGAGTCATCCATTTTGCATCTGCGATGTCCTACATGTATGTATAGTGCATAACCACTTCCTGCCGGGGACTCCGAAATCGGAGACGTGTGGTTTATATGCGTGGCTGGGGTCTT